ATATATATATATATATATATATATATATATATATATATATATATACATATATATTATATATGGCGCATTACACATACAATACATGCTCAAGCATATAAGCGTTGCCACAATGTACACTTCCTATCACAAGGAGATGAAGAAGTGGTCTGTTTGTGTTTGTACAAGTGAAAGCTAAGTAACTCACGAGTATGAATCATAACTTCTAAAAACCGACGAGCGTTCATGTCCGGATGCATCGGCACTACGGTCATCCCAAAGGCCCCCGCTGATCCCCGAGAGGAACAAACACAGCAAAAGACAAATTTGCAGACGAATATAAGTGAAAATATGCATTTGCAGAGGTGCACAAGCATGCAGTTGAACACGCAGGTAACCATGTGCCTAACGGATAAGCACACAGAAGGCTGGGCAGATAGCTTTAACAACGAGCATGGATCTATGCAAATTCACATACAAATATGAAGCAGCACCTACGCTACCATCTACTTGATTTCAATTATAGGATGGGATAGAGGGCCTCTACGTGAGCTAAAACGAATTCTTCAGTCGCTTTGACACCGCTTTGAGCATTCAAATGCATAATGAGGTGAATGTACAAGTGCAAGTGGACATACATGTGCATGCTGAGGTGCACGCGCATGTCAGTATTGAAACGCTTGTGTATGAGCGCGTGTTTCCTTACACAGGTACACGCACTTGCACTACATCAACCATAAGCACCTTCCCAAATTGTGCGTATACATTTTCTGTGTCCTTCTAAAGTATAGGCTGCTGTGTTGCCCTTGCGAATTTCCAACAATACCAATTTCAGCGATGGAAACAGCAGTAGCAATGACACGCACAAGCAATAACAAGAACGCAGGACGCCAGGAACAGTGCCGTAATTTAACGACAACGAGGGCAGCAACAACAGAGAAATTGCCTTGGCAATACCACCAGTAGCAGGAGCGAAACCAACAACAGTAAAGACGAAAACCGCAGCAGACGTAATAACAATAAAAACCGAAGAGGTAAGGGCAACAGCAGCGGCAAAACCATCGAAACCATAACCATAGTGCGAACAGCAACAAAAAATACTTGAAACACCATAACGACATTATAATGATGTTTGAGTGGTGACAATTTACCCCCAAAGTCAGCCAGGAGCAGCTCCACGGAGTTGGCAGCCCAGGTGCCTACAAGGCGAAGGGGTTCGTTGGCCCCGTCGCGCTGGGGGAGTTGAGAAGGCAGCACAAGACGATCCAGGCCCGAGCCAACAGCTAATGACACTGCGTAGCCCTGAACCGACAGCAGCAACAGCAGCAGCAGAAGAACTAGCAAACATTGCAGCAATAGATACATAAGCGAGCCCGACCCTAGAGGAGGATCTCAATAGCTTCCACTACTAGTGGAGTTTATCCTGCAGACCTAAATACTAGACCCTATACCGTGCAAGGGATGCACAGAGTATGCAATCATTTAGGGTGTAGGGTTTTAGATGCTTCACTTGTTTGTAGCTGNTGCAAGGGATGCACAGAGTATGCAATCATTTAGGGTGTAGGGTTTTAGATGCTTCACTTGTTTGTAGCTGATCTCCAGAAAACCCTCTCCCGCCTCCTCCTCGCTTGTCAATATCCACGGAGAGTCGCCAAACACCGCCGCTGCTCTCCGCAGCAAATCAAACCTAAGACACAGCGATGGATCGAAGTACATATGTATGTATTGTATATGCAGTATGCACGGATGCGGAATATATATACATACATATATATATATATATACATATATAAATTGAGACATTATAACCCGTTTAAAAACAAAAGAAAGCACAAGAACTACACAACGGCGACTCACGGGCGTCTGATAGCGATGTTGATGCCTGCAGCGAGGCCGGGGGGTACCGCTTGGCTTTCTGGCACAATCTTATTTTTGTTTCCATTACTTTCTTGGCTCTCCGCTGCATCTGAGCTGCTGGATATCTGAGCTGGGGAGTCCTTCTGCCGCGGGCTGGGAGCAGCAGACGGCCCCTTAGGGGTCTGCATTCCATCTTCAAATCCTCCTTGCACAGAATTGAAGGACCTTAAATTGCTGTCTACAGGCGTGACTGAAGCTTTCACTTTTTCTGCTGCAGCAGAAACCAATGATAAGCCGGCTGACCCATTTTGGTTGCGGGGACCAGCAGCAGACGCTGGATTCCGCAGCAGCGCCAGCAGAAACAGCAACAACAGCACCTGCAGCACGAATGGAGAGCTTTTGCCCCTCCACAGTTGCCTCCCGATGCTTGATGCTGCTGATAAAGGCCGCAGGGGGAATATTGGCGCTTCAGGCACGCNCACAGTTGCCTCCCGATGCTTGATGCTGCTGATAAAGGCCGCAGGGGGAATATTGGCGCTTCAGGCACGCGTTTCCTCGGCCGGTATCGGGGATTCCGGAGGTACACTGTTGGCTCCTGCTGCAGCCGCTGTTGCGGCTGCTGCTGCTGTCCCCTAGCTGCTGGCTGCAGCGTACATGGCGTCGCTGGATTTGGCGCCATCGAAAGTTGGGGCTTCTCCGGAGAGGCTTAGAGACGGTGTAGAAGGCTTCGCCTCTTCCATTAGGCAGCACAGCGAACCGGTTGCTGCATTCCAGCGAGAGAAGGTGCAGCACTTGCTCCCTCCAGAGTGATGAATGGAAGCTTACGCTCCGTTTAGGCGCCCCACGAAGCCTGAAGCTTTAACCCTTCAGTCAATGGCCCTACATACGCCCTGCACTGCCGGCAGAGTTTACGAGGGCCTCAGAAGAGGATTGCCTGTCAGGTAAGGGATAAGAGGGGGATGAAACTCAGCAGAAGCTTTTCAACAGAGGGGATGACTCAACAGGAATCTAGGGTTCAGCGTTTAAAGTTTGGATCGTGTGATGATCGGACTGCCAGCTCACGCGAGCCGGTGATCGATGGGTCAATCCCGTATTTTGAATCGAAAACTTCCTCAAATCATGAGAACAAGACGAGGAACGAGATTTGTTTAGAATAAAAAGGAAGATAAGCTAACAGAGAAGATATTTGCTTCTTCCGTGAGATATAAATAAATGTATCATCGGCTCGCCTNGAAGATAAGCTAACAGAGAAGATATTTGCTTCTTCCGTGAGATATAAATAAATGTATCATCGGCTCGCCTTGAACAGACCGCTCTGAGTCTGACCATAGGGGAGACGGAGGAGGCATGGAAGGCCTCCAATCCCCCTCTTTAGGCAGTTTATGCAGTGTTATTAGAGCAAATAATTCAAAGGATACTCCGTTCAATAACTGATATTTCGCTGGGCCGCTGAGTTGAGCGATCGACGGTCTACAGCTGCCGAGGCCCCTAATGGAAGCCATGCGTACCCACTCGTCTAGGCGGCGCGACATCCGTCCGGTATTCGCTCAGGAAATTACATTAACTAAACAAATTAACAAGTTATTTATTGGCAGATTTTCCGTTTAGGGGGATTTCGCTGCAGATTTTTCCTGCCTTTCTATCGTTTCCCAACAAGGTATTCTGCTCCGCTGGGGTTTGCTGTCTGCTTACCCCCCCCCCGCCACCCGAAAGCCATGCAAATCGTTGTTCCTTACATCTTCTTCAGCAGGCAGCTCGAGGATGCTGAAACCTTGCTCCATGTAATATGTCAGAAGACACATTCTGGTTAACCCCTGATCTTACCTAGCGTCGGCATGGAGGCTGAACCCAGTGTACAATGGGCCCGNCCTCAAGGCAGGATTAGGGCCGCTACGTGTCGGTTGCTGCTGTTTTTCTTCGGTCTTTTACGGGGGTATTCTCTAGGGAACGGAGTGTATGCATATAAACTACCACCTAAAGGAGCGCATTTCCCGCCTTTCTCCTTCCAATGGAGAGCAGGAGGATGGCGCTCATCGCAGATGCTTGGTGGCCGCAGAGCTGTCATGGCCCCTGTAAGGACGGTGCATGCGTATCCTCCTGCGGCTCTGAGTGGAGGGGGAACTGCAGATGATGAAACTGTCGTGAATGGCGGAGAGGACAGGGTAAAGAAGCAAGAAGAACGAAAAGACCACAGACAATTAGGTGCCATGATGGATATGTTTTGCTTTCCAAAGCCAAAAATCGGTGCGATGGGCGGATTGGGGCCTGCGTTGCTCCCAAGAGGGCTGACTTGCATGCTGCAGCTGCAGAAGGTTCTGAGAAAACTACAGGAAAAGCAGGGATTCGAGGAGGTAATTAAAACCAGAGCAGAATTGGCGGTGGTTCGGCTGCGTTTGGCGCCTTCNAGCAGGGATTCGAGGAGGTAATTAAAACCAGAGCAGAATTGGCGGTGGTTCGGCTGCGTTTGGCGCCTTCCGTCGGTGAACATAGAGTACGGTCTCCTGCATGAACACACGCATGAACTAATAAGCTTATCTTCTCCCCCCCCAAATCAATGCTTTTATGCGCCGCAGGTCCGGACGGGGTCCTTGGCCCAAGCCCATCTGTGGCATCGCAGCGGCCACATGCAACACTTCGCAGATAATATGTTTGCAATTGCGGATCCGAGGGAAAGAGGAAGTGACACGCTCCCAGGGGACATGCAAAATGTGGAGATGCCCCAGCAAGAAGGGTCCACGGCGCCCCCGGTTTATGATGCTGGCACTTCTTACCTTTTGAAGCCAATGAGCTGCCCTCTACATCTTTCTTACTTCTTTGATCGTTCTGTAGGATTTAAAGGTTTATGCGGCTTCCTGTCATAGCAGTGCACCGGAAATAAAAAGCATAGGCTCCTTTCAGCATATTAACATTATATATGCTATGATGTTTATTTTCTGTACATACTTTTTTTTCGTGCTGCTGTCCCCTTTTTGGTTGGCTGTTTGTTGTGGAAATGTATAACGTAGTGTCCTTTTGAGGTAACACTGAAAGGCGGGCATACGATGGCGTGTGTTCCTGGTTGCCTGCAGGTTCGATTAGGTTCTGCTTTACCGCTACGTATATGCGAATTTGGACATGTTTATCGACGGGAGGTACCCAGCGCTCTCTGCGGCCTCATGCGAATGCGCGAGTTCACTCAGGTACCGTTACCTGGCACTTAATCTGATCCAAAAATGAGGTAGTTGTTATATTTAAAGACAAAGGCAGGTGCTATTGCTTCGCAGCAGGGGGCGTGTTTTCTCTTTTGTGTTGAAATAGTACCAGTAGTTCCGTTTCAAACGAAACTTGGGCTTGTATTTCAAATACGTTATCTTCTGCGAATCAATAATGGCATTAGCTTTCGAGCCTCAAACAGGATGGTACACACAAGATGGTTGCTTGTAGAAAATGGATAGATATTTGCAGTGGCGTACTGCTAGCAAAGCAGGCAGACGCAGCAGCGTGCAAGGGGCACTGCAGCACATGGAATTTGTCAATCTTTGTGGTTTTAGGACGATGGCCACATTTTGTGTCGCATGTCTCAAGCTCTGGAAGAAGTAACGGCATTTCTTTCCGCGTGTCAAAAGCTGTACAAGGCAGCGGGCTTTTGTAAGGGGGAGATAATCTACCACATCTCGACAAGGTAAAGCTTGGTTGTTTTCGGATATAGGGTCTAGGGTAGGCCGTATAGGTTGGGGAGCGCTCCAGCCGCTCATCATGCACAGCCCTAGTTACCCGCAAGGGCGAGTTAGTTTAGAAGCGGCCATTAGTCCAGTAATATACGGGTCTTGTCGAAATTGTTTAGCACGCAACCGATCCCAATGCGACTATCTCTTGAGTTCCTGGCAGCGCAAATGCGACGGTTGCGGTGCAGCTGGTGTTGGTTTTCCTCAGGCCAGAAAGCAGTCAAGGTTCAGAACAGGAATGGGCCGATGCCGAAGTGAGAGACGCCTAGTTGTGTACTCTTCCCGATGCCAGTCCCCCGTCCTGTAGCCTTCCAACACTTGTGATCTTCTTTGTATGGACCGGAGGACGCAGGTAAGAACCACAAACAATTCTGTTCGCATCACTTGCCTGTTTTCCTATATGTGTTAGGGGCTGCTGCGTAGCGCTCTTGAACAGCTGGAGATCCCTTTCACGGTAGCCCGAGGAGAAGGCGCCTTCTATGGCCCAAAGATTGACATTCATCTTCCAGGCGTAGATGGACGGCTGTGGCAAACAGGGACTTTGCAGGTGCCTAATGCACGTAATTCATTTTGACGCTTTCCCGCGCTGCATTTATACTCCTGTCCAAGTGCTAGACAGCATTGCAACCACCTGTAGAAGCAGAATGTACGCTGCTTTTCTTCTCGGAGATGCTGCTGCACCTCTGCAGGTTGATATGTTTTCTCCCAAGAACTTCGGTCTTGAGCCCACACCCGAAAATAATGACCGTCTGTGTCTCCTGCACCGCGCGATGTGCGGTTCCCTTGAGCGTTTTCTTGGCCTGGTGCTGGAGCATTTAGATGGCCACTTGCCATCTTGGCTGGCACCCACCCAGGTAAAAGGAATATTCAACTATTAATCCATTAGTACAAGATTCGCAACTTGTGCTAAAACTGAAATTGTTAAACAAAGATATATATTATATAGTTTTAAAATAGCATGGCGCTGAAGGTGATTACTTGCCTGTTCTTGGTGCACATATCCATCGCCTTACTAAAACGCAGAGCTGCAATATATGCATATTATTTGTGCTGATCCTGCGAGAAGGTGGCAGTGCTGAATGTTGGAGAGGGGCAAGTGACTGCTGCAGAGGCTTTATCTAGGCGTCTACGCCGAGCTAAAGTGCGTGTGTCACTGGACACACGACCAGTGCACATTTCGAGGAAACTAAAGTAAGTTCAACCATAAGCCCTTAAGTAGAAAGTATACATTATGTATCGTACCCTATAAAAGGATCTAAGAGCCCAAGCATAGCGACCAATCGGCACGCCCTCCCTCCCTATTGAGCAAGAAGCATATCCTAGCTGCCACGAGGAGGTACCAGATAGAAGGGGGCTTCATCATTGTAGTCGCAGT